TCGATTCTCCCTCTTTCGATCGGGGAAAAGAAGCTTCGCGATCGTGTCGATAATCGTTTCGAGAAATCGATCTATGTATTCTGATAAGGTAAATAGGTCGGAGAGATAAGGAATCGGGCTCCCTGATCGTTGAGAAAGTGTTTTGCGCGATGGATACCTGGAGATAAGCCTCGAGAAAAGTGGAAAAGAGGGGAGTATGGATCGATCCGCTCGAATGGTAATCGCGAATGATTGGAAATTTAGAGTTGGGGGCTTCGCGAATTTCTTTCCAATGCTGTTGTTTGGAAGGGGGATGAAGAGGAGGAGCCGTTTCGGGGGAAAAGTCGAGAAATTTCTTCCTGGAAAATTCCTCAAAAATCGTACGATTTTTCGCGAAGGAAAAGGAAAAAGAGAAAGAGGTGGCTAAGTTGGGGTGTATTTTCCCAAAAAAAAACTATTTTTTTTCTACTGAAATCATATATTTATTTCTTTTCTTTTTCTTAGGCTATTAGATATATTGTTAACTGGGCAGTGAAAACAATAAATAAAAATGTATGAGTTTAGCTGAATGAATATATTCAATTACACGTAATTATATCTGTTTACAAAATATTTAAAGTATCGAAGAAAAACAAATAGGTACGAACTATTTGAAATAGTGATGTTGCTGGCAATATTCAATAATAAAACCACATATTATATAATAAAATATTATATAATAAAATTTCAGTGAACTTTAAATTCTATAACATATATTTTTTAAATTAATTAGTTACAAATAAATTATTGGAAATGGTGAGGTGATCGTATAAAATTTCATGTAATTATAAAATACAAAATTATTCAACAATAATATAATTTTCAAAAGTATTTCCATTTTCATGCTGTTGCACGATTCGATGCAACTGGATCATCGTTGATAATTTTGCTAAATTAATGGAGCCGGCATTTATAAACAAATTTAAAAAGAAAATTGTGAAAAGAAAGTGCAAAATATTCGACGAGATTACAAAGATTATTATAAATTTAATTACTTGGCTTGTTCGCTTAATTCCATTCATTAATCGGTTCATAAAATTTCACAAAATAATTAATTCTAATCACTAATTCTTAAAGTTAATTAAAATTAAATATTAATCATCGTAACTATAAACACTATTATATTCTTGTATTATTATTGCTATACTATAATCTATAATGGTTAAATTAACTTTCAACGATTTAGAAGGAACTCTGTCCACCGATTTTTTCGGATGCTTTGACTCGAAAATATATTCATTTATACAAGAAAGGATCCATCCTTGAAAGGATTTTCACATACATTCGAGTGTTGTCTATGCATGCAGATATTTAAAATTCTTCACCGTGTCAAACTGATTGAACCGTTTCATTTTGTACACTTTTGAGAAATTGAAACTTTTTCCTGATATTCAAAGTGATTTAAAAAGCGATAAAAATGTGAATTTTGAAGGTTTGAAAAAAGTTAATATAATAATTTTACCCAAAATTTCGAGATAATTAATATACCTAATAATAATTTTTCTTCTTTTTATTTTAAAGCTAAGGCTCTGCCCCTTTATAATGAGGAAGAGCATTAAACTTAAACTCCTTTTTTAAAATAAAAAATATTAAATAATTCCAAAAATACCAATAATACCAAAATGAAATTATACGATACAAATACACTTAGAAATCCAAAATTAATGATATTATAAAAAAATAGCAAGATCCTAAATAAGTAATTTTATTTTTCAATTTGTAGATTTAAAATATTGTAATTTAAAATATAATTATAATATAAATTTTAAAATATTATTTTAATTTCAAATAATTTTATTATTTTAATTTAATCAAAAAATTTTATTATTATTTCAAATAAAATATGAAAAAGAATCATACTATATGTTCAATTAATTATCCGTGTAAGAATTCTTTCACTTTGAGGAACTTTTTTCAAAGTCAAACATTCCACTCCACTCTGCTTTTTGCGTTTTGGACGCAGAAACGTTAGTTGATTGTAATTAGAGAATCGACCATCGAATTATCGTCACGGAGCTTAGCTGGATTTATATTAGAACGTTCCACAAGTTTCTTTCTTTACGATATCTTTTAAAACTTTATTCCACACTGTTCGATATGACGAACAGCCAAAGGAAGCATTCGCGGCGTGTTATGCTTTATTGCTTTAGAAAAGGTGATGAATGACACCGCAGACGAGATTCGTACTGTTTACGGGAATTGGTTTAAGGGATTTAGAAATGACAATTTTGACTCAGCCCAGCAACTACGAATAATGACTTTGTCAAGTC